TTTTTAATTTAAAATTTTATATTTTACAATTTAATACAATTTACACTTTAAAATAACAAACCCAAAATAAATTTGCACTAAAAAACTATATATGGGTTCATCAATCAACTGGACATCCATTGTGATTGAAGGGGAAAACGTTGACCTCACATTTATTTTATTTCAGTATTTATATTTTCTTATAATTGAAAATCACTTATTCAATTCCATCAAAAGGGAAAATCACTTACTGAAAAAAAAAAAGAACTTTTCTAAAGTTTAAGATACCATTACTCATCCATCACAGCTTGATAAAATTCATTAAAGAATGGATTAGTTGGGATTGTTTTTATGTTGACTTGTATTATTTGAATAATTTACTAAGAATGGCCTAAAGTCTAAGAGGAGCTAATCATGCCTTAAATGAGAGGCCTTTCATATCCTTGGTTAATGGTCCCCTACCAAATATGTGGGCTAAGCAAACTAGATTTTTATTATTGTAAAATAATCAATTATTTTTTCTTTACTTTCGTTGGCATATTTTCATGCTTTGAATTTCACAACTTCCATTCGGAGACTTCAACATTGAACTCTTTGGTTGGACGATGGATGGGTGAGGGTTGGGGCATCCACCCATCCATCTTTCCCCATATCATTGCACTTTTGCTATGATTGTGTTTGAATAACTTGGTCTGAACTTTTGAAAATAGGCAATGAAAACTTGGTCTGAACTTGGTCACATGGGTGTAAAACCTCTCACTCTGTGATTTATTTACTAAATCAAATATTTTATCTATTTATATATATATTTCATTTTAAATTCAATATTGTCGGTATATAAGTGTTTAAAAAGTCGATGGCCTTACCTAACCCAAAAAAAGTGTCAATTAACATTCTAAAACTATATTCTCTCTGTTTCCAATATAATTTGTTTCTTTTAAAAAAAAAATTAAAGATTAAAAATGATATTTGTATTTTTTATAATATTCTTAAAAAAAGATTTTTTTTTGTGATCGAATAATTAATTAAAATAAAGAAATAATAATATGATTAAATTAAAAAAAAAAATTTATATGCCTTAAAAAATAAAAAAATTAATTTAGTATAAATTTAAAATAAAAAAATGATAATTATTTTAAAATAAAAAGAATACGTGACATTTGACGCATGGAGAAGAGCTAAGTTTTGTTTAGTGGCTGTAGGTGAAGGAGATGCATTGGTTTGAAACCATTCCATTCTTTGAATCTAAGCACTTCATCCATTTTCTAAAATGCCACTCTTCAGTCAGCTAGCCAGAATATATGCCCAAAATTAGTCTACTCTGTGCTGTGAAATGCAGGGGAAGAATAGAGGAACAGAGCACTCTGTTTAAATATTTAGAAAAGAAATGACAAACATAGAGGTGTATTATTATAAATAGTGTTCTCATTTTTAATTTAATTTAAAAGTTAGTTGTTAATTTTTTTTTATGTACAGTTGCTATGTCATAATCACTAATCAGATTGGAAATTTATTTTACTGAGAAAGATTCTTTTCATTATGAAAAAAAAAAAACCTGGATTAGCATTAGGACTGAGCCCAAATTGATTTGGGCTATGTTTTG